ATATACTATATAACCAAACTTTCAATAATTAACAAAATAAGAAAATTTATTAAAAATAAAAATTATTTTTTTGCATTTGAGCAGATTTTTTTTTAGATTTTATGTTTGAAATAGTAACGAAAATTTGTCACGTGCATACAAATTGTTGGCCAACATATTGATATAGATATGAAATATACAAATTAATTAAAATAAATAAAATAAAAATAAATCTGAATATTTATATAAATTTGTTGCAATTTTGTAGCAAAATTTTATTAATCGAAAACATTTCTGAAATTGCCTGAATTTGGCGCCTCAGGCGCTGTGGTCAAATCATCGCCGTCAAAAATATAATAGCTGGATAAAGGAAATAAAATATAACCAGATTGTTATGGTTGTTAGTTTTGGGTTTTTTTTTTTTTTTTTTTTTTTTTTTTTTGCATTTTGCATTTTGCAGCAGCTGCAGTTGATATTTTGTGTGATTTGATTATTTGCCTGCCAGCTCTCTGATATATATGTGGAATAATGTGCGGGATACACACACACGCACACACACATACACACTCATTTATTGTACGCTGCGTCATTTTCTACAAAATAAATTGTTTTCTGTTTTCAGCATTAATTTAATTGTTGCTCTTGTTGTTGCTGTTGCATCCTGAGTGAGCGATCGGCTCTGGCAGCTTTTATGATTATTACAATTGGTATTGTTGTGTTCCCCTTGCTGTTGTTGTTATTGTGGTTGCTGCTGTTGTTGCTGTTGTTGCTGGTCACATTTGTAATTTCTCGTTGGAGGCAATATATGAAATCGTTTAATTACAATTGAAGCGGTTTATGCATTTCTGTGGTCATTTCCATCGCATTCCGATGATGATTTCAATGCCGATGTCGATGTCGATGCTGCTGCTGCTGCTGCTCTGCTTCTGAAATGCAGCTGATGTCTTGTTTGCATTGAAATCCAAACAGCAATTTCTTTAAAGTGTCCACCATAAAAGCGTACACCGAACCGCAACTAAAGCCGCATAAATCAGTTGGCCATAAGCATTATTGCCGTTGTTGGCCAACTAGCAATTCCCGTTTAGCATAGCATTCCATATTTGACTGTTCATAATAAAGCATTAAATGCACTAGAAATTCTTTGGCCAGCATTTGCATTGCCTTTCCAACTGTTAACGAGTGTCTGTCTGGCTGTCTGTCTGTCTGTCCGTCGACTGTTGCCACTTTGCCGCCGAGTGGACAACTAACTAAATCTGATTGCCGGCAACCGCAGAAAGCCATTTTATTTAATCATTTTCCTGCATGTGGTGCATCTGAAATAAATTTGGACAACAATTTTAATAAGTAAAGAGAAATTTGAGCATAAAGTTTATTTTATTTATTTAGAAATGAATGAAAATTGTGTTTAGTGATGGGCAATCAAGACACAGTTAGATGAGCAACTGTAGATGTTGAATGCATAATTGAGCACCGATAAGGGATTGATTGTATTGGGTTTGAAGACGAGCTTCGTTTCAAATGGAACTCAAAATGTGAATAAATTTGTAAGCATATAAAAAATAAAAATAAAGGTCTGTCATAAACATAAATCATCTAAAATCAAAGAAAGATTTACTGCGGTGTAACTATCACAAGCAAAGCTCAAACAGATATTTGATACATTTGAAGTCAAGATCTGGTCCTGTAGATCTTGGGAGAAGAGTCCGACGCTTCTCTAAGGTCTAAGGAAGGAGCTAGTTGATATAGTCCAAAGAGAAAGAAAATCTAGATGTCTGTGATGCTATAGATTTGTTATTTAAAAAGCTCAATGAACGATCAAATTTAACGATATATAACATAAATACTCACTGGGAAAACTCTATGTCGTTTAGGAGGACAACAATTATATTTTTACTCTTATGGTTTCTATTCAATAAAAATTTCTGCAGTATATCCAATAATTAAATTATTAATCATAATTTCATTAATGTCGAAAAATAATGAACACCCAAATTACAGCACTAAAAAAAAAAAAAAAAAACGGACTTCAGATTTTAAACGATTTCTTGAGAACTCTTGCCAATACTATATATTCTTTTCCAGACTAGACTGAAAAGTCTCTAATGTAGGCCGAATGGCAATGTCAATGTGAAACACGTAAGTTAAAGCAATGAGTAAAGTGACAGAACAATAACTGCCTGGAGCTCTTAGTTGGCCAATTAAATTCAAATTTATAATTTATAAGATGCCAATTTAACGGCTGGGCGCACTGAGCGGCAATAATGACAACAGCAACAACAACAACAATAACAAATTGATATGCTGAATTAATGACAAGTAACTGGATAATGATTTCAGCACGAACTCCTGCAAATAGCAATCGGCATAAGGACAATTCTTGGCACAGCTCAAGTCGAGCGCACAGCCAGTGCCTGGCTACGGCCCAAGCCCAAGCTCAGGACCCAGACCCGAACCCGGACCTCGATCCTTGCCAATGCGTCGCCCAAGTCCCAGGCATATTTATAGATTATTTGCCTTGAACATTTGTTTGCTGAGCGCTGATGTCCTGAGCACGAAATGCAAATATGGATGTGCATAGAAGGCGCTCCACCCATCCACACACTATCCATGTTCCACTTGCCCCGCCCCACTGCCCCAAGCCCCGTTACAACCTCCAACTAGCACAAATAGTGTTTTGCCAAAAATTTGCACAGCACAATGTGTGCGGCGCTTTGACTTTATAAATAAGTGAAATTATTGGTCAAATCCATTTGATTATGTACAATTTATAATTGTTGGCTCATCCTTGCAGTAGATCACGTGCGTTCGGCTCGCTCCGGCTGCTGCCAGGACATGATTTTCATATCACATTTGAATTTTGATTTTGATTTGTGTTTGCCATGCGTAATTGCGCATCGGAAGTGCCGGCTGCCCATTAATGATGCTGTCTGTGCATTAGAATTCTCGCATCTCTTTACTCTAGGCTTGTTTATTGTTTGATTTACGCCCGCCAAAGAGTGTGAGCCGCACTGGCGCCATCTATTGCACGGCGGCAGCAACAGCCGCAACAGCACAGACAAACGTGGAAAGCTTGCAATGTAAAAGCTTCGCTAAGCTTTTTCCTTTTAACAGAAAAGCCATTCTAAGCATGTAACTCACACACAAACAATGTCCTTGCCCACGTGAGGGCAAAAGTTCCTCTCCCTCCCACCTCCGCCCACATGCGTCTAGCTATTTCCATTGTCATTGAGAAACACTCGCGGCAGTACGCATGCACCGAAACTTTTTCATAATATGACTCTATTAGTGTCGAAACATGTGGCTGCGTGTCAGATGTTTTCAGTGAGCAAATCACAGAGAGGGAAAGAGAGAGAATGAAAGAGATTTAGAGTAATATTTGAGCTTTTAGTTGGTGAAAAATTCATTGGACTAAGCATTGTTGTAATAATTCTTCGCAAGATTATTTCAAACAATATTTTAAAGAAATAATCAAAATATTATTGTATATTATTTGTATTCTTATTTAATTATTGCTATTATTATTTTCATTTATTTCTGAAAAATTTTACAATTTAATTATTAGTATTATTATCTTTTTTAACACTTTC